GAAATAGTTTTAGGAGTTAAATCTGATGAACACAATGTTCACATAAAAGGCCTAGAATGGAAACTTTCTTGCTTCTCTAACCTGAAGTCATAATTCAAGTCTCAGAAAAGTAAATTAATTCCTCATCAGTGGTTAGCCAAATAGTAAGGTCCAGAGAAAAACAGGCATGGAATAAAACTATATCAGTCAACTTGTGGTTGGCAGCAGAATGGGCAGAAGGGTGGAGGGGAAGACAAAACAGCTAAAAAAGTCCTTTCGGTCAATGTCTGTTACATGCATGTGTGTGTGGTGTGCGTGAGTGTGAATTGGCGTGGGTGAGTTGGTGTGAACATGCATGTGTAGGTGTGGGGGCGTTGTAAACAGGCATATTGCATGAGTTGGTGCAAGTGTGACTTGCATGTATGCATGAGTGCATGTGGATCCCTTCGAAGGAACTTGGGTTTCCATATTCTCTTCCTTGGGTTCATCATAGTCCATTGTCTTAGTAGCCTTGGGCGGGACCTTAAATGGAGTTTGCATTTATTTTTACTATTATTCCTTGCACTTCTGAATGTATCTGTTTGCCATCGACTCATGACTGCGTGCCACAGGGGCCTCAGATGACTGTCCCCAGTGCACAGGGCAGCCTTGCTCTGACTTGCATGGTCACACCAGCGTAGGTCATTACCTAACTTTCCCAGTCCCTTTTCGGGCTGAGTTGAGCCCCAGAACATTGGTGATCAGTCCTGTGACATTTGAATTGGGCTCAGGACCTCCTCTTCCTGGGTTCAGTTTATCCTCTCTCTTGCTCTGTGAGCCTAAGCACATATGCTTCTTTGTGTTTCACTCCCTGGCTATTAACATGGCTATTAACATGGCTATTAACATGGCGATAACATGGCAATATCCTCACTCGTGGAATTGGAGTGACACTAAAGTTATTTAATACATCTAAACAGTGCCTGACAAATTGAAGGTTCAATATGTATAAATTTATGTAGGTTTACACTTATATAAACATATAAATTATATGTATACATATAAAGATAACTGCTTATTATCTTTATTATTTTTTATCACGGCACAAGAAATGTAACCATTTCAGATATATGGCATAATTTATGATTCAATATTTGTATAAATTGTGAAATTTTCACCACCTTAAGTCTAATTGACATCCATTGCCATAATAGTCACAAATTTTTTTTTCTTATGAAGATTTTTAAGATCTACTCTCTTAGCAACTTTTAGATATACAATACAGTATTAGTAACTGTAATCAACATGGTATATATTACATCTCAGGACTTATCTTGTAAGTGGAAGTTTGTACCTTTTGATCCCTTCATCCTTTTTGCCTACTCGCCACCTCTGGAAACCACCAGTATGTTCTTTGGATCTATAAACTTGTTTATTGTTGTCATGTGTATTTGATTAGTTTCCATATCTCAGTGAGATCATACAATATTTTTCTCTCTTTGTCTTTTTTCACTTACACAATTCCCTCTTGATTAATCCATGTCTCAGTTTGCAAAATTTTGTTCTTTTTATGGCTGCATAATATTCCATTGTGTGTATATTCCACATCTTCTTTATTTATTCATCATAAGTGGACAATTAAGTTGTTTCCAGGTTGAGCATTGGTGTACATATACCTTTTTAAGTTCATGTTTTCATTTTCTTCAAATTAATACCCAAAAGTAGAATTGCTGTGGTTTTTCTATTTTTAATTTTTTGAAAATGTCCGTACTGCTTTCCATAGAAGCCACAGCAACAGTGTACAAAGGTTTCCTTTTCACCACATACTTGTCAGCAGTTATTTCTTGCTTTTCAGTGATAGCCATTCTCACAGGTGTGAGATGATATTTCTTTGTGATTTGCATTTCCCTGATGATTAGTGATATCGAGCATCTTACCATGTACCTGATGACCATTCACATGTCTTCTTTGGAAAAAAATGTCTGTTTGGATCCTCTTCCTATTTTTTAATTAAAATGTTTTGGGTCTTTGTTACTGAGTTATGTTAGTTCTTTGTATACTTGTGATAATCATGCATTGTCAGTATATGATATGCAAATATTTACTCCCATTCAGTAGGATGCCTCTTCATTTTGATGATTATTTTAATACTATCTTTATTATTACCATATGTCTTCCTCTTTTATTTCTGTTTCTATTCTCAGGCAGAATTCTTTGTTTAAACAAGTTGATAGCCAATACATAATCACAGTTTAATAGTTCAGAAACATAGTGTAGTTCGGGGTATAACTGAAAATTAGGTTACTAATGGAGAAAAGTGAACAAAAATAAAGGAACTTAGGTTTTACAAAATGTCTGTTATGTGGTAATTTGGAGGTGAATTTCCAGCTTCCATTTGCCCCATAAGGCCAAAATCTTCTGAGGAATTTCTTTCTACATATATGGTTTGGCTTCCATCCTTCCTTAGTATTTGATAAAAATACCATATTCCCATTTCTCTCGTTCTGCCTTCTTCAAAGCCCAGCACAGTGTGCTTATCCTCTGGGAATGTCCCTTTTGCTGGGTGGGGAGGAAGCAGCCACTGTGGGGAGGCATGACAGCCCTCTGAGGAAGCCCTGAGCAAGGATTCCAGGTGGGAGAGGCCAGGTCTTTACCTTAATTTTTTCCCTTGGCTGGTTTCTGCCATCCTTATTCCTAAGAGACTGTCCATTTAAAACCCCTTGCTACGTGTGTCTCCATATCTCATTCTCTCTAACTTGCTGTCACCTTTGTTCCCTGTTCCCCCTGGTTTAGCAATTCCTGTCCTCTAGGCCAGCCCTGACCTCCTACTTGAGTTTCAGTTTTCTTCTCTAGGGATACTTCTCAATCCTCAAATAACTATGACCATAATCTTCTGAGCAGTTTATTAAATAAAGGAGGAAGACATATGCTAATAATAAACATCTGATAGTATATTTCAGTGGAGATGGGTCAATGAAAAAATCCAGGTCTCTGAGCGCCTCTTCATCACAGTCCTGCTTGTTCCCCTTTGTCCTGACCTCCTAGTCAGTCAGCCAGCCACATAGAAGACAGAACAGAAACAAAGTCCTGTCAGAGGTTGTCTTATTGTCTTCTTTCTTCTCTTGGGATGCTTCTCAATTCTCAAATAACTATGACCATAATCTTCTGAGCAGTTTATTAAATAAAGGAGGAAGACATATGCTAATAATAAACATCTGATAGTATGTTTCAGTGGAGATGGGTCAATGAAAAAATCCAGGTCTCTGAGCGCCTCTTCATCACAGTCCTGCTTGTTCCCCTTTGTCCTGACCTCCTAGTCAGTCAGCCAGCCACAAAGAAGACAGAACAGAAACAAAGTCCTGTCAGAGGTTGTCTTATTGTCCCAGTGCTTGCAGTCTGCAAGGTCCTGCAGGTGTGAGTCCCTGGTGTCCTCATCCACACCTGGGGAGGTGGGCAGAGGGGGAACCTTTCTCACTGTGGCTGTAGGGATGACCCTCTGACCATCTTGCTGTATCTTCCCCTTCCCAACCTGATTTTGAATGATTGGGTGATATTTTTTAGTTTTTTCTGCAATTTCAAAGGTGACTAGTTTTGATTAAAAGTTCCAAACTTGCTGAAACATACTAGGTTTGTTCTCTGAGAAAGAGATCTCCTGTCTTTTTTAGTAAAATCAAATCCAATTTGCTCTTTGAATAACTAAATACATTTTAATTAGCATATTGACTGGATAATTTTGTTTTGTTGGTTTATTCAAAGCTCATCCAAAATGACCTCATGCAAATTCTCCTAATTTGAGTTACAGAAAAAATACAGGACAGTCAGTAAAATGTGAATTTTAGATAAATGAGGAATAATCTTTTTAGTACAAGTATGTCCCTAATAGACAAGGGATATACTTATACTTAAACTATTTTTGTTTATCTGAAAGTCACGTTTAACATTAAATAGCATTTATCTTGCATTATTTGCTAAATCTCACCCCTGGCTCTACAATCAGGTGTCCGTTCTCTGGTCACCATTGTCACTGGTCTTACATGTTCTCTACTTATTCCCTGGTAGAATCACCCTCTGCAATTTGCCACCTCACTGCTTACTAAATTTTCTCTTTCTAGATGAAGTCTGTAAATTGGTCCCTTGATTTCTCAGTCTGAGGGCTGGAGCTCAGCTCCAGGTAGACCCTACGATAGTATGTTTCAGTGGAGATGGATCAGTGAAAAGATCTGGGTCTCTGAGCACTTTTTCATCACGGTCCCGCTTGTGCCACTTTGTCCTGACCTCCTAGTCAGTCAATCTGCTCTCACTGCTAACAAAACAGCCACCATAACACAAATCCTTGGTGCCATTCAGTTGCAAATCTCAGTTTTTCACTTATCCGTGTAAACAACCATTTCATAACTTTTTGTATGTTGCTGTCATATGTGAGCCAATCTATCATTAAAAAGTGACAAGTTTGGGGCCTCCCCTGGTGGCACAGCAGTTGAAGCGCTGGGCTGTGAGGCTGCCCGCAGCCTCTGCAGTACCGGTTCATTCCCCGGCCACCGGCAAGGGTCCCACAAAAAAAAAAAAAAAAGGTGACAAGTTTTTTCTCTTTCTATTGAAGTAACATTAGCTCATGACACTATATAGGTTTCAGGTTTATTTTAAAAGAACAGGATCCTCAATAATTTCCTTCAAGTGAGGTATCTTTTTGTTTAAATGAACTAATTCTTTCAGAGTCCTTCTTGTGGAGAAGAAGCTGCTGGCAGCTCACACTCGTGCCTGCCTCTGCCCAAGGCTGCCTCAAAGGCCTTCAGGCCCAGCAAGGACAGTCTTAGGAACTGTGCATCATCAGGCTGCTCACCTTCAGCCTCACTTGGCTTGATTCATGGTCTGCACAGTGAAGTTACCTGTACTTTTATCCATCACCTCATTTCTCCCTCCCCTTTCACAGAAGCACAAGCTAAGAGAAAGGGTCCCTGCAACTGGCCAAATGCCAAGTGTGGAGGGACGTGAACCTTTGGCACAGAGCACACACCCAGTAAAGCCTCTGTTTTTCTTTGTAGAGTCCGTTTAGTAGAAAGAGGATCTCCTCATAGCTTGCCCCTGATGGAATCAGGAAAAGTAAGTATTAAAGAAAGAAATATGCATTTCTTTTTTGTTGTTATTTGGAAAAGTACCACTGTTCCACATCCTTGCCAGTGCTTTGACAGAACAGGGTTTCCCCTACACCCGAGCACCCATAGTCCTCTCCACAGCCCATTTCTATGTGAGTCTCGCTTTATAGGCTCTGAAATTTTAAGAAATGTAATGTATAGAATTTTTTTCTAGAAATTTTGCTTGAATATAATATATCAGGACTAGATTTGGCCATGAGTATAGAAAATCAAAATAAGTACTTGAAATAAGTTAGATTATTTTCCCCTTATATATAAAAAAAAAGAACACGAAGCTACAGGAGCCCTTGCACCTTCTGTCTTGCTTTCCTCTGCTTGGCTTCCATTCCCGAGAGTACCTCAGGGTCTAAAGTGGCTGCTGCAACACCAGCCATCCTTTCCATATTCTGCTGCGGCAGGAGGAGAAACAGAAAAAGGAGAAAGTGCAAACCTAGGAAGGTTCGTAAGCTGCCTTACACTTAAAAATCCTCAATCAGAATTTAGCCACACGGCCACACCTCACTGAACAGAAGGCTGGGAATACTTTATTGGTTCTGAATCTCTTAAGGCCTAGCTAAAATTCATGATATCAGTTACTGTGGAGTAGCAAAGAACAGTTATCAGAAACAACTAATAGTTCCATTCACAGTAGTTATGTTTTTTTATAGAACCAGAGGGCGAGAGACATATCTCAACCTAAATGAAGATCCCTTTTTTTTTTTACCAATTGTCAGGCCTCTTTTCCACTTTACATGGTTCTGAAAGCAACATACATTGCTTCTGGACCTTTTGTGAGCTGTGTCCATATGACCACCAATTAGGATTCTTGGCAGTAATTTGGTTCCACTGGGAGAACCGCCCTCCCGCCCTAAGGTACCTGGGGGCCCTTAGTCAGCTGTAGAGACCTTAGACCAGTCAGACTGAAGTCACATCACACCTCGACTTGGTAGGGGACAGCGGTTCCCTTACCAAGAGTCTTTACCACAGAAGTTTTGCCTTATCTCAACCATACAATGCTAAATTAACTGGACTGTTATAGACTGTCCTCTGAATTTCCAGAATCAACTTTTGATTCCCCACTGACATGGTATAGGTGGGATTTGGAACATTTCTCAGCTAAATTTCCTTTAAGAAAGAGATGCTTAATATTGACATTGTCATCAAAGATGTTTGCCTGCAGGAAAAGTTGAAGGTGTGGTTTGGAAGGGATGGGAATCGGCCAGGCAGTGCAACCAGGACACAGTAGGTTGCCCTGGAGGTGATCCACACAGAGGCAGTTTACACTAAGTCATCTTGCCACACCTACTTCATTTTTAGTTCACACTTATCTCTGAACACATCATCCTTGCCTTCCTTAATTCAGTGCCTACTGCCAACATCACCCTCCACACATGTTTATCTGTTAGATGAAAGCCATAATATTTAATACAATTTGTTATATTGAAATAACTGAATTCCTGTTTTTCAGGCTTCAGACTATGTTAAATTACTACATTTATCATGGTTTTTTTTCCAATGTCTTAGTTTTAAGACAGCTTTAACACAGACTCTATCATTGTAGTAATAATTACAGTGAAATATTATTATGTTGTAACGTAGTGTTACAATATATGGTATTGATTTAAAGTCATAGCTAATGATTTTAGAAGTCAATAGGCACATGAGACAAAGGACAAAGGAAAGATCAAGGGTGATTGGTATGTAACATGTACTTTTCTGTCCTGCCACTGATGGAATTGTTCTCCTCTTTGAAATAGATACTTCCAGGTGTTCGGATTATAATTGCCAATCCAGAAACAAAAGGACCATTGGGTGATTCACACCTGGGTGAGGTGAGTTATGGGGTGTCCCCTGAGCAAAGTGAATAGGGGTGTTTTCCATGACACTAGCAAACTCTATTCCAGTGCCACTCATGAAGGTACATGTTCTGTTAAATGGCACAAAAAGACTGATTGGCTAGGAGATCACATGAGATAAGCTTTATTGCTTAGATGAGTCCATGAAAGTTGGGACTACAAAGTGGAATTTCCGTAAGGAAGTATGATGGATCCTCTTCAAAGAATTTAGAAAAGATAGAAAATTTCACATTTGTGGACTGATTCTCCTCATTTCTTAGCTTTTGAATTTGTTTTCCATACGTCTGCCTTCATTGCTGAGAAGTTCCCATCAGGAAGATGATGGAGCCACAGGGGCAATAGCGCTACAACCTCGAGCCATAGCAGCGTCAGTCAACAGCGGCGAGCGGGTTAGATGAGTGACGGGAGAGGGAGAGATGTTTGCTTAGGGCAGAAAGTTATCAATCACTTCCCCGTGGTGCTTGACTTACCTGCCCCTGTGCACCTGGCTGCTGCTGCCTGTGGCTGCGTCCTGTTCACTCACCCTCTGCTCAGCCAGACCAGGTGTTCACCCCTCCACCTCCTCCCAGTCTTCTCTCTCCACTGATAATCCTGCTTCCACAGAGGAGCAAGAGGATATTAGAAAATGACCCTGCACCTGATCTCCCCTGCATGGCCGCAGGATCACCATCCCCCCAACCCCTGCTGGCCAAGGCCATGCCTGCAGCACTGTGAGCACCTCCCCTTCCTGCCTTCCTGACCACTCCAGCCATGCCCCAATCTGCTGCTCAGCTGACGGCTTATTAAAACACTGTCCCTGGAGTCACACACATAGAGCAGTGACACGCTGGGACACTCACAGCCTACCTGGGCACATGCATGATGATGGGCACGTCCCCAGATGCCTTTACTTCTTAAGCTCTTTTGTGGCCCTTGCTCGTATTCTTATAGACAGTTCAGCACTGAGATGGTGAAATTTTGTGCAGGTCTTATTTAGAAATTTCCTTTAAGCACATTCCAGGAAATAAAATTGTGTAAAGAAACTTCTGTCTTGGCAGGGAGAGGGCCTGGCTCATGCTGCCCTCCAGGTGGCATGAGATGACATGGGATAGAGAAGGGAAAACCCTGCCACCCTGGTTTCCCTCCTGGGATGTGTCTTACCAGGACATTTCATCTGGGAGAGCAGAGAACAGCTTTCACCACTTCATTAGACTTTCTTTCTCGTGCATTTTCATGTGTGGAACAGGTGTTTATTGCCTGCTGTGTGCCAGGCTCCTTTCAGGGAATGAGGACTCCAGCAGTAACCATGACAGACAGTGTTTCTGACTTTAAGAACTTTTTTAAAAAGATATATTTATTTTGCATACATACTGGGGTATAAACCAGAGGTGTGGGAGGGTGAGAGCATTCACCAGAGAGAGTGGGGAGCAGAACAGGCAGACTGACTGAAACACACTGCTGAGGGGAGCAGCGGGTGAGACAGGAGAGGTCTGCTGTGCCATGTGGATAGCTACCTGGCTGGCAGGGGAACGAACTCATGCTGCAGAGGCTGTGGATAGCTTCATAGTGCTGTGTTTAACCCCTTGCACCAGCAGGGAGGCCCCTCTGCCTTCGAGAACTTTGACCATCTTTCAGAGTAGATAAAATGACAACAGCCAAGCCCAATATCCTTTACTAGCACACTCCAAAGACCAGAAGCCCCATATTCTTACAATTCTTTTTGTATAGATATAGTTGCATGCAGAGAGTTTGGGGGTTTTTTCCCCTAGCATTTTAGGGTTTTATTGGCTTAACTATTCCCCTGGTCTTTTCCATGACTTTGCAAACCCCACATGGTCAGTGCTTTGAGTCAACATCATTTTCCCCCACTTCCCTAAATGCCACACATGCAGGCATTGGTTTCCCAGTTTTTTGATGTTATATGACTTTCCCTCTTATAATTTGTTTCATGTTGCTTTATTACAAAGTATTTCCAGTTGTATATGAAAATAAATCCTAAAGCTTTTTATCATCTTTCCAGCTTGCTTTTTAGAAAGTCATCACAGTTGAATAGGTACAAGGAAACTAGTACAGGTTGCTTCATAGATGTGTTTTTTTTTTTTTTAATTATCTGTTCTGATAGAATTTTCTGGGAGTGGATGGCTTATTTGTTGCTGGACCATGAGCTTTCCATTAATGCCTTTATTTCTGTGAATTTTGTGGCATGTGTGTCTCCCCAGAAACCTGAGTGAGATTATTATCACCTTGTTCTTGCAGTCCAAATATACTTTTAATATCTTTGAATATAACCTATTGAAGTATAAAGTAGCTTCTTTCAGTGGATGGTCTCAAGTTAACTTATCCAGTTATATTTTGCTTCCTCACCAGATCTGGGTTCACAGTGCCCACAATGCCAGTGGTTACTTCACTATTTATGGAGATGAGTCCCTCCAGTCAGATCACTTCAACTCAAGATTAAGTTTTGGAGACACGCAGACAGTCTGGGCACGAACAGGCTATTTGGGGTTCCTGCGGAGAACTGAGCTCACAGATGCCAATGGAGGTGAGAGCCCAGACTGGCAGGTGGCCACACGACCAGGTTCCAAACCAGAAGAATGCGTGCGCACACTTCCTGTGCGGTAGCCGGGAAACAGCTGAGTGTAGATCTCAGCGTGTCCAAGTTGCCGAGGTCGGCATCCCATTCTCCGTGCTGTCCTGAGTGAAGAGTAGCCTCACGACCAGGGGCAGATGCCATCTCCCATTTTTCCCCGGGCAGAGTACCCCAGCGCAGCACACTGACTTTGCTTACCAGCTCCAGAGCCTTCCCACAAGCCCAAGGCCTGCCTGGAACCCAAACTGGCCTGGGGCTGCAGGAGCATGTACCTGCCCTCCACCAGGCGGGGTCTGGCCCATAGAAAGGGGAGATTACTAGGAGCTCAGGCCTGATGCTGCAGACACTATGCTTTAGGGATGCAGCGCAGGGGCTGGTACTTGGGGGGTGGGGTATTTCAATGAGCCAAAACATAAAAAACCTCTTGCTACTCAAGTCTTTCCAGAAAGTCTGGAACCCTTTCTCACTTCTTAGTTCCACTAAAAATGGAGGCTAGGATATTTCACAAGGATGGGAGCTGAGATGATTTTGCCAGACCAGACTTCAGGAGATGAGTCTCCTGACACACCTGCCTGGCAGGAGCTATGCTGACTATGCTGGGTGAACCGCCATAAATTTAGGGGAAAAGTACAAAAATGTGTTAGCATTACATTTGCAATGTGGGAACATCGTAGATGATTTCATTCGAGGGTCTCCCTGGGGCTCCTGTGAAACACTGCGCTTAGCGAGAGTGAGGTTGCTGGTGAGGAGACAGTCAGGACCCATCCCAAGGACTCTCTGGGGGTGCTGCTTCCTTACCTCCCTGTCCCCCAAAAGATGTGAGACCCGGCCCCAATCCTCAAACCAGCTAGTAATTGTCTCCACCTCATCTGAGTTAAACTGGAAAAGATTTGTTATCTGGTATTATTTCATTTCTTCACTTCTTAATTTTCATAACAAAGTCGCCACTTCTTTTAAATTTTCTCTGCTATATTGCTACCCTAAAGATTAAAGACATGTCTCCTTATTTTTAAAGCAAGATAGAACTGACTGCATGTTGTCATTATCAAGGTTTGCGCAACTGATAAGAATAAATTAAATGGTTACATGGGCTAAGGAAATCTTTGTTCATGAACATTATCAGAAAGTGCTTTCTTTTCCCACTCAGATATGGAATGGTAACAGATTCCATCAAGTGATAGAACCAAAGGGACTGGGTTTAATTTTCATTGTGCTGCATCCTGCCCAAATGGCTTTGGGAGAGCTTGTGAGGGACGAGGGGTAGTTGCCGCCGCAGGATGAGCCACGGATGCGGGTGGTGTCGAGCACATGCTACTGTGTTTGTCCGTGTGTAGAAGCTGCTCCGGGACACATCCTGTCTCCAGGGTGGAGGCAGGGAGGGATGCTGGGGTGTGGGGCTGCCCTCCAGGGGGACAGCACTCCCAGCAAGTAGAAGCCCCAGGCTGCAAGGCTTCCTTTGTGGAAGGGGAACAGATATCCCGAGCATCCTTTCATCCCACCACTTTCTCACTTGAGGGTGGTTTTGACCATGCAAAAGAAAAAAGCAGCTGGAGCAGCATTTCAGTGAGGCTCACACGTTTCCCATCCCCTAAACAGAGGGTGCTAGGGGGTGCTGCTTCCTCACCTCCCTGTGAGGCTCACACATTTCCCATTCCCTAAACAGAGGGTGCTGGGGGGTGCTGCTTCCTCACCTCCCTGTGAGGCTCACACGTTTCCCATCCCCTGAACAGAGCGCCACGACGCCCTCTACGTGGTGGGGGCCCTGGATGAAGCCATGGAGCTGCGGGGCATGCGGTACCATCCGATAGACATTGAGACATCCGTCATCAGAGCCCATAAAAGCGTGACAGAGTGGTGAGTGATGGGAGGGTGTGCACAAGACGGGGCAGATGGGTACACGTGGGCCTTAGCTTCTGATTTTGAGGCTTTGCCTGTCGGGTCACTGAGTAGTAACCGAGCTCTCCTGGCATGGAGTTGGTGTTTCCTGCCTTTCCTGAGAATGACCTAGAAACAACCAGATAGTGCTTTCCAGGAAGCCAAGTTCTCCTCAGTTGTTTGGTTTTGGTTTACGGAAGCATGGTGCAGAGGGAAACTAAGTTGCCTACAGATACTGGCACAGAAAATACTTTCATGTCTGTCATCGATGCAAATCACTGTGCCAAGTGGGAAAACTTCAGAAAAAAGCAAACATGCCCAAGTTAAACCAAGGCTAATGGCGACCAGTCACCCAGACACACTCTGGCAGACAGGGGCCCTTGAGGGTGTGGGGTTCACCCTCCTGGGGGCTGGACACCGTCCCTTCCTGGCCTGTTTGGTCAGCTGTGGTGTGAGTGTGTTGCCACTGCCCCCGCCCCCCACCCACACACCAGGCCAGTCCTTCCTCAGGCCTGTGTAAGGTGTTTGGGATTAAACATGGCTTAACCCAGAAACCAGGCATGGGGCCTACTTCGGTCTCCATCTAAGTCGCCGTCCCTGTCAATGGTTGCCTTCCATTCTTACACTTTTGCGAAAGTAATTTTGACTGGATCGTATCCATGCCTTCGAGAATTTCCTATCTACTTGCAAAACAGCTCTTTCCTCCATGCTGCTCAAGTGATCTCTGGGCCACGAGGCTGGTTCTTACTCTAAGCATCACTGACATTCCCCCTGAGTGATCATGCCACGGACAAGGGTCTCACATTCACCTCTTCTCGTGCCTTTTCTTCTGGCACCAGAAAGAAATAAAAGCAGTGGTTTTATTCTGAAGGCTGTCCATCTGTTGAGGACTATCTGGAGCTTGTGGTTTTCACTGCTCCTTGTCTGACCTTGCTGGTATCTGCACCCCCGCCCAGCCCACTGTGCCCTTTCCTCACTTCCTGCTGAGAGCGTGGTACCTGCATCCCCTACCAGACTGCCAGGGGCCCAGCCAGTCAACCAGCCCACCCTGTTCTCTGCTCTCTCCATGTCACACTGCAAGGGCCTAGCAGGTCTCCCGAGCAGGGAAAGCAGTCAGTGTCCAGCCCCGGGGGGCACACCCCTGCCCACTACAGATGGAAACCCCACCCAAATTCCGTTTCCTCCATTGCAAATGAGTATTAAAATTGTGTGCCAACAACTGAGGTGTGTATGCATCCCACATCATAAACCTCCAGGGTGGATCACTAGCCACACGGAGCGAGATGCAGACGTCACGTTGTGTCATTGTGGGACTTTTGCACTGACACATCTTGGGAACAGCTTGGGGATTGTTCCCTGAGGTGGACACTTCCCCTGCTCAGAGCGCAGACAGAGAGCACGTGCTCCAGCACTCCCGTTTCCTTTTAACGTACACACTGGCCGTAACGAACAAACAGGTGTTTCTTTTCCTAAGACATACTCTCACTTTTGGAATATAATAATTGGTTTTCCCAAATACTTCCTCACAGCCGAGACTGTGTGTGTGTGTGTATGTGTGTGTGTGCATGTGCGCGCGCGCACACGTGTCCCAGCAGTCTAAGCAGGACCCCTGGAACTGGTCCCATCCTCCACGGGGCTGCCCCCTGGCCCTTCTGGCCTCCAAAGCCATGCAGTTTATGGGCACAGAGTAAATGAATATTAAGGTCCGTGACCACTTTTTAAAAGTCCAACTATGAAAGGTTAATGTGGCTTAAAGTGTAAAGCACTGAGTTTAGGTTTCCACAGATTGGGCAGATCAAATGCTCTGGGTGACCCTCCCAACACAACACTTCCAGATGACTCTGCATTCTTAAGAATTGTCCCCACAGGATTAGCTGTCACTGCATCATAGTCATCCCAAACTCAGTCCCTGAAGCCGTCATCCGCCATCCTATTATCCCCCCTTGTCTATAGTTGTCTCTGGCTTATCGGATCCTGGCACAGCCAGGGCTGGTGGGTCTATTGCTCCATATTTCTTGTCTTCCGAGATGTCCCCGTCCCTCTTTTGCTTACATCCCACCAACCAAGGTCAGGGGCATAGACATCACCCTCAGAGCCACAGTGCCCAGATCCAGGGAGGCAGCCCTGCTGCCCCAATACCCCACCCCAACCCCAGCGCCCCTGACAGCAGCTGGCTGGGGGCAGCACCACTTTGAGGCAGATGCCGCCCAGATAATGGAGCTCGGGAGCAGCGACGAATAGACGGGGCTGCTGACAGGCATGTGGGGGCCTGCAGTGGCTGAAGGAGATGGGCCCGGAAACCACAGGCCCAGGAGACATCTCGGATGGCGCGCAGGCAGGTCTGCAAAGAACCAAGTGGCACTTCTTGAAAAGGAAAAGTAGTCGTCCAGTGACAGCCCGCGGGTAGTGATGGTTTTTTCTCTCTTCCAGTGCGGTGTTCACCTGGACAAATTTGTTGGTGGTGGTGGTTGAGCTGGATGGGTCGGAGCAGGAAGCATTGGACCTGGTCCCCCTGGTGACCAACGTGGTGCTGGAAGAGCACTACCTGGTGGTGGGGGTGGTGGTCGTGGTGGACATCGGCGTCATCCCCATCAACTCCCGGGGGGAGAAGCAGCGCATGCACCTACGAGACGGGTTTTTGGCCGACCAGCTGGACCCCATCTACGTGGCATACAACATGTAGTCTTGTCTCTGGCTCCTGGGACTTTTCCAGAGATGTAAACATTTTTCTCAGTGTCACTAAAGTGTGCAGACGCCAGGGCGACGTTCGCCAGAGTGGAGCCTCTTGTCACGCGCTGGTGAGGACGAGACGAGCCGCAGCAGCCCTGGCCGCGTGGGGTGAGGTGTGGATGTGCCACTCAAGTTTGCTCAGAAGGACCTTGGATTACTGCCTTCGGTTTGTTGGAAAAGCCCATTTCGAAACTTTCTTTTCTTTTTTTTTTAATTATTGGATAATAAGTGCTTTCTTCGTAAATGTGGTATTTTGTTAAAGCCAAAATAGCAATTAAAAAAAAAAATATTCTGCCCTCCAGATGGGTTCTTTTAAACAATTTATGTAGTGTGACAAAAAAATTGTTTTCTCTGTTTTAATGTGTCATGAAATCTTAATGACATGGACCTGTTACTAATTTAAGCCATTGCTAGATCTCATCCTTTTAGGAAAGTTTGTTGAGGTACGAGAAAACCTTCCAAATAGCACCTTCCAATTAGATTTTAGCAACTTTCTTTGTCAGAAATGTGCTGAAGAGACAAAGGCTAATATATGGCCTTTGAAGTTAGCATAGAATGAGAAGAAATTATAAATAAGGTGTATTTCGGCAATTATCTTGCAGATATCTTTGTACTAAACTAAAAAGATAAAATAAGTTAACTTCTTCATATGTAATTATGTACAAAACGTTTAATTTATTTTGATCTCTTTAGAAGTATAAAAAAGAAAAACATTCAAGAATATTAAAGTCTTGTAATGTTTGCTAATATAAAAAAGTGTTGTATTATCTTGCGTGGATAGTATCACAACAAATATATATATATGAAATATAAATCCACTAATGAACAAAGGAGATTTTAAAGTTTAAAATGCAGAACCTGTCACTTGCATGGTGTCCCTCCACTGTACTGTAGATAGAGAGAGATTCTCTCACACCCACTCTGCTGATGCGAGCAATCACAGATTGCCGGTAGCCCCGTCTAAACGTTTCTTCTAGAACCAGAGACCAGCAAGTGAAATTACTGCCATCTCAGAGATGGCGAAGGAATTTGAGGCTAAATGTGCACTATTTTTTCCTTTGCTGTGGAGGCAACAAGGAAGGTGTGCGCCCGTGCGCCCGCAGGCTCCAGGGAAGGCAGGTGTCGGATAGCACTGTTCTCTCAGCTGCGAGAATTCGTTGCACAATGTTTTTCAGCATTTTTGTTAGTGTCACCTTCTTTTGGTCCTTGGTATGAAAAAGAATAATATTCTGTGGTCATTTGCACTGGGTTGCTTTGATTCCCCTCAGATGGCCCATGTATGGAGTGGACAGTGTCCAGAACAGCTGAAAGGGAAGAGACTCAACAGGAGGAGATGATGCCTTCAGCCGGTGGTCTGGGGTTCCCTAGCCCGGGCCTCGTGCGTGACCCAGCCACTGGCTGATGCAAGAAAGCCTCCCCGCGGCCTTCGCATCGCCACCTGTGAGGACCACGATTCTGATTTCCGTCTGTTGCTGCTCCTGCCTCACACGTCCTCTGATTTTCAGAGCCCATCTGTAAACTCCTTGATTGAATTGGCCCAACCGTGTCCAGCCAAGAAGAGGGATCAGCTGCTCCAGAGTGATTTATTTTATAATCGCCCCAAATTGACCCTGCAGTGGCTCGTTGCTAGATGTGCATGACTAAGATTGTTGCTGGGCAAAATTTAGATTCTCCTTTCATTATATCGCAGGCAATGTCTTTATCTGCCTTTGCTCTATACGCAAGCAGTAAGCCCTTTGCTAAGAGAGTTTTGTTTGACTTCTGAGATCCAAGGCAAATTGTTTTTTAAAAATCTTAAGCGGCATATTTTTCTTTAATCCGTCTGCATGTGGGGTGCACCCTTCCATCTCCACAAACCATTTGATTTTTAAAATATCGTTTGACTTCATTGCTGTGTAAGAATATTTCTCTCCATGATTCAGATACACATTCCTACGGTCTTTTGCTTCCTAAGAGGGAAAACCTCGACACATTTAAAAAAAAAAAAAAAAAGCCGTTTTCTTAGACACACACCTTGTTGAAGGGGAAGTAGGCTTCAGGTTTCAGGTAAGACACTGAGTTGAAAACGCGACTGCAAGATCACCTGTGAGGTCCAGTGGATGTTGGAAGCAAATGCGGCAGGTGTCACTTCAAACACGACTTCCCTTGGCCACGTGCACTCCAGACGCGAGGCCAGGGGCCGGGAAGGCCTGGGCACCGCGCTGTCATCTCTGGTGTCGGAGTCAAGGCCCAAGGCGCTGGGGGCTGGGATCAGAGTTCTGTTGTGCAAGGAGACACTTAGGTACCACCCGTTTCAGCAATAAAGAAGGATCGTTCTGTATTAGAAATTGTACTGTAGATAAATCATTCATGAGAATGTGACAAATGTTTGTCTTGTGACCTTGTGCTTTTGAAGTCAGACAAAACCGTGTAATCAACTTGCACAAAGGAGGGTACACAATGAACATTGAAACACAGACCTAACCCAGCAGGGCGGCTGCCTCATGGTGCTTGTTTATTATATATATTTAATCCTGCTTGACACTTTACCCAAGGGAAACTGTCCCTTTTATCAGTTGAATGTTAGCAGCGTTATTTCATAGAGTGTGGTGACTGGTTAGAGAAATCCATGTACTCAACCAATCACGGTTTCAAACAATTTTTATGTGCAAAGGACGGCAACCTTCTCGTATGTTAAACCACCAGTAAGCTTTGTACATCTGTGATAACGCCTGTTTTATATTCAAATGAACAAATAAAAGCTTTTATTTTTGTTGCTCTGAAAATAGCAGTTTCTTAATTGGTCCCCAGGAAAACTGTCTGGGGCTGCCTGGCTCCCGGAAAGGAAGTGACTCCTACAGGGAAATGTTTCTGACTCTGTTTACATAATTTGTTTCATTACTTATTAGTACAGATATCGTACTTTGAACAATGTTTAAATTTTGATGTGGGCATTTATTGCTGAAAGAATTCCTATGGCAACAAATGTTTTGTGAAATGTTTTTTTTAATTCTTTTAAATATATCTAAATATATTTGTTCACATTTTGCTGCAAGTGTACAGATTATTGGTAACTGTTTGGACAAACAGTCATCATGAGTCCTGTGTGCAAATGCTTCTGTCGGCTGTACGCAGGGACCGTGCAGCTCAGGAGGCAGGTCTCACTCACTGTTCCCACCCAAGTCATTTGTTTGTTGGACAACCAAAGTTCTACATTTTGCCCAAGATCTCAGTGTTCTGGTGACCGTCTTCTGGAAAACAGGAATGGGTTAGCTGGCCGTCAGCCTAAAGAGTATTGAAACAGTCTCACATAAAAATCAGAACACAGAGCCCAGCTTACCCTCTGTGCCTGTATATTAGAACTCCACTTGTCCCCTCTCCTCCCGACTTTTGTTCAAGACAATCTCCACTTAAATGGGGGACGAAGCTTGGAGTGGGTGAAATGGATGGTTAGTGTCAGGCCAGCCTGGCTATAGGGGATGACTCCATTGCAAAGAAGACCCAGCTTCCCAGCGGGTAGCCTTGTGATGACAAGCAAGGTGAGCCTAGCCCTGCTTCAGACAGTGTGTGTGTGTGTGTGTGTGTGTGTGTGTGTAGACGTGTGTGTGAGTACAACACGTGCGATGCCGTCTTCTGCATCCTCTCACACATGCTGACTTCTGGAGACTCATGCGATGATGGTTTGCAGCTCTGGTGTGATGCCATTCTCTGTCTTATGAATCCTCAGTGATGTCTGTGCACTGAGACAGGACAGCCTGGCCCCCTCGAGAGAAGCCCCGAGGCTGCTGCTTTAAAATTCCTGGGCAAAAAGAACCATTTCCTTAAATCCACACTTCTATGCCCGCTTTGATTTCCTACATTTTCTCGCTGGAACTCACCACCCCTGATCCCCACAGATGGAGCAGGCCTTTTATTTTCTGCCCCATTCCAGAGACTCGTGCTGGGACCCCACGCGGCTGTCTCTCTAGCGTGGGAACTCGGCCTTCACACCTCCCGGGAGGTCAGGCTGCCTGGAATGGAGGGCCGCGCGCGCCGTCTCTTACTGTTGTTCAGCCTTTAATGTTCATCTGCAGCCCATTGTTCTGTGGCGGAGACACTTTGAGCCCGTGGTGGAGGCAGCTCCTCTGGCTTCGGAAGGCCCCATCAAAGGGACGTTTGCTCCTGCCCTCCCCACGCACCTTCATCTTCATCCTTCCCACATGTCCAAACAGGACTCCGTGTCATGGGGGCGAGTAGCGGGGAGGGGCGAGGCAGACTTCCAGGCCCGCCTGGGAGCCTTGGCTTTTTTCACAGCCCCACCGCACGGATCTCTAGGTCATCACCGGCGCCTGCCGACGGGCTGACCTGCCTCCACTTGGGTCCCGGCTCGCTTCTCATCAGCTCAGCCCTGAGTCTAGCAGAAAGCGGCCGCGCAGACCACCTTCCCCGCCTGAGGCGAGTTCAGACGCCTGCCCCCGGGGGGGGGGTGCTCCTCCAGCCATGGGCCCCCCCGGGAAGCTGCAGCGTGTCAGGAGGCACAGATTGAGCCAGCACAGACTCAACAGTAGAAGGTAAGAGTGGGGAGGAAGGCCCTCAGCCCGTGAAGAGCTCCCCAGGGCCTGGCCGCGCTGGTGTGCCAGGAAGAGGTGCAGTGACCTCAGCTCCTTGAGTCGCTGTTTCCTGTACGTGGGGTCGAGGGTCTCGTCGCCCTCCAGCTGCCCTGTGGGAGGACGGGGTGTGTTTTCCCTGGGCCCCTGGCATAGCAGACCCCCAACGGAGGGCCTTCTCCGGGCTAGGTGGCATCAAGGGCCTCTGTGGCCAAAGGACTTCAAGCCTTCCCGGGAGCCGGGTGATAGACGGGAAGATGATGGAGCCAGAAACAGGCAGATGTTGATTTTTCTCATGATCCAGAAGATGCCGGTGAATCCTCACAGCTACTCAGGCCTCGTCGCCAAAGGTATTCACTATAATGACCCCCAGCTGCCGCCCAACAACCCCCCCCCCTGCCATTTGACAAATGATTGGAAATATCAGAAAGAAAATGCAGGAGGATGGAGCAGGGGGAAGAGGGAGGAATTAGAAATAAATAATGTGGTTAGTGAACAGATAATGTATTCACAAGACAATAGCCATTAGAAAGATGCATGAAATAAAAGTGGGAAGAAGAAACAAGAACATGGAAGGATACAGAAAAGAACCAGGTCTAAGTGGACTTCCAAGCGACTGGAGTTTGTCAAACCTACTGCCCAATGTGTGCTTGAGATGGGGCAGTGGCGGGGCCACGGGCTCCCCTCTCCTACCGAGTGAAGGGAGTGGATGAGCCCCAGAGGGCAGATGACAACC